CCTCTTCCCTTCCCCCTTCCCCCAAACCCCTCTGTGTCTCCCTCTCTCACCCTTCCCCTCCTCTCTCCACCTCCCTCCCCTGCCCCCCCTGTCTCCTCTTCCCTCTGCAGGAGGCCATGATGGATTTCTTCAACGCCCAGATGCGCTTAGGGGGGCTGACCCAGGCCCCTGGTAACCCAGTCTTGGCTGTGCAGATTAATCAGGACAAGAATTTTGCCTTTTTGGAGGTGAGCTGAGCAGGTATTGGGGTTGCAGTGTATGTGATCCGAGGACCCGTCCGTCCCTCTGCCCCCTGGCCCTTGGGCACACCAGACTTGGGGACTGCTGCGCTCCTCTGCAGTCCACTCTGCCTGCCTGTTGGGGGAGCTTGGCGAGTGCTCTGCCAGCCTCACTAGCTTGCCGCCTTTCCCTTGTACACCGAGTGGCCTCTGCGCGGCTCTGCAGCTTGTCCTTACCTGTTTGTCCCACCCTGCTCTGAGATCGCCTGGCCTTTTCAGCACACACTGGGCTCCTGTCTGTCCCAGGCTGTCCTGGGTGGCTCGTCCGCGTCACCTACTAACCTTCTCTGTTGGTGTTCTCAAGCTGTTGTTTGGTAAAGACTCTTGACTTTTCCTCTCCCACTCTTGGGCCTGAGTTCTCGTGGATACGAGAAAGTTGTCACAGTGCAGGCATCCCGTGAAGGCTGGGGCAATCCTGTGTCCCATGCTTGTCTTAAAAAAGGGGCCCCCTTGGTTTTGTCTTTTTTTTTTTTTTTTTTTTTTTAAAGTTTACTGATTTTATCTGTGAAAGTTGGGGGAAGGAGAGACAGACACGCCCCCAGTAGGATCTTTCGGCCATAGTCTATCCCATCCTGCTGGGACGGTGGGAACACGCTGTTCCCATCGAGCTTTCAGAACGTGAGTCCAGGACCTTCCATGTGGCCCTCAGAGCTGGCGTTCCTGCCGCTTCACTGCAGCTGGCCTGAGTCGTCGTGCTTTGGCTTTCAGGTTCAACGTCATCTTACCGAGAAACCTTGAATGCCATTGTCCCCATCTAACTCCTGAGAGGTGTTCTCTCAGTGCCTCGTCACTCTCCACCACTTACGCCTGACCCTGCATGTGCGTGGGCTGGTGTCCTCCCCTCTGGAGCCTGAGCTCCTGGAGCAGGGGTGTGCCAGCCTCATGTCCAGCACAGGGCCTGCCATGTGGTCAGGGTCCACAAAAGTGGTGGACGGCCAGAGGCCCACCTCACCAGCCTCTCTCCCCTTCAGTTCCGCTCAGTGGACGAGACTACCCAGGCCATGGCCTTCGACGGCATCATCTTTCAGGGCCAGTCTCTGAAGATCCGCAGGCCTCATGACTACCAGCCGCTGCCTGGCATGTCGGAGAATCCCTCTGTCTATGTGCCTGGTGAGTGGGGCTCACGGGGCCTCGGCCCCGACCTCGTCTGCAGCCCGCCAGCCCTTGCTCAGCCTAGGGAGTGTGTCCTAGGAGGTGCCCCAGACGGTCTTCTCCCTGCCCCTAGACCACTGTGAGCTGGTGGTTTTCTCTGCATGGTGACAGGGCCCAGAGGGGCGAGCTGGCAACTGTGGAGCCAGGACCAGCACAAAGGCTCCGTGGGAGGCGAGGGATTTGCAGTGTGGGTCTTGTTGCCGCTCTGTAGCCCCCTGGCTCTGGTCCCTCTGGGGGCTCAGGACTTGCATAGACGTCCGCGGAGGTCAGCTGGGTCTGGACCTGGGTGCTGGCTGGTGTCTTGTCCCCCAGCATGCCCGGATCCTGCGCCTGGGCCGTTCCCCGCACCCAACTGGGTGTCCGCCCTGGGGAGCAGCACAGCTCGGCAGGGACTGACAGTGGAGCGGGCAGGCGGCAGTGCTCCGGGCGGCACCACACCCACGGGTGCCCACGGCGTGGCTTCGTGGGACTCTCATGGGTCAGGACAGTGTTTGGAAAGTCTGTGGGCCGCGCGGTGGTGGGCAGGGTGTCAGTGAGGGGAGGGTCTGGCCTGTTGGACTCTTGGTTATGGGAGCACTTCGGTGCTGGAGGTGAGGTGTGCTACCCTCTAGGATCTGGGGCTTGTGCTCGCTACCGTTAACTGTGCTCCTGGTACTCGTCCCAGGCTGCTCGCTGCAGGGTCATTGCTCAGTCTCCATAGTCTCACAGCGTGGCTGTCACTCGGCCCCAAAGTGGTTCTAACTCTTTGTAAGTGAAAGATTTGCTGGCACAACCGAGGTTCCCCCACGCTGCTCGGTCTGCTTTCGTAGCGGCTAGTCGTGCGCTCGCACATCAGGCTGGATGGCTCATGCAGCAGAGCTGGGGCACTCAGCACGCGGGCCCTCGCTGAGGTTTGCTGAGCCCTGCTCTGTGGTGCGAGGACCCCATCTCAGGGACCTGGAAGCCAGGCCTGGCCCAGGCCGTCGGTATCAGTGCGGGCTTGAGCTCGCGGGACGGCTGCTTCCCTGTCTGCACCGAGCGACTGCTCTGCTGCGCGCCTGGCTTCTCCCAGCATGGCCCCTCCTGCAGAGAGCAGGCTGTCGGAGGTCACGGCCGCTGCTTCTGGGCACCCCCTTTAGTGGCATCCCCTCCCGCAGCCCACTGTCCCTGTGTTGAAACAGTGGACACCCCTCCTTCATCTGCTCTCTTTGCTCCTCCTGTGACGGGGCAGCCAGACTCTGCTCTGGGGAAGCGCAGGTCTTGCAGGCAACGTGTGCTCCAGTAAAGCCGGTACTTAGCTCTCCCCTCACCGGCACGGAGATGGAGCTGCAACCTGTACGTTGCCTGAGGGACAAAAGCGCCTGCCAAGACCCGGCAGGTGTCTCGATTACAGGATGGAAAATGCCAGAACCTGACAGGCAGCTCCCTTCCCTTGGTCACGGTTTCATGGATCTAGTTTGGGAGGGAACTGCTAGAGGCACCCCACTGGAGCCAGCCCAGAGGCCTGCAGTTAGCCCAGCCGTGCAGCCTTGACGGGGGCCTGGCCGGTCCCTCTAAGGAAGTGAGGCAGGAGCCAAGGCAAGGTCCGGGCGCCGGGCCGTGTTTGGGGACAGGGCGGCAGTGTGATCTGTGGCTGAGGCTTCCCTGCCCAGGTCCTGCCTCGTGCCAGGGGTTGCCCGTAAGGGCTCCTCTGTTGGACCCAAGTCTGTCTCTGCCCCATGTCCTTGGCTCTGCCTGTGAGACTCAGAGGCCAGCCTCCTGCAGAGCCATGGGGACTCTTGTTTTTCCACCCACCTCTTAGCCCTGCTGAGTGGGGTACCCCTCCCTCAGGGCCGTTGGTGAGGCTGTCTCGTGTACCGGCTCCCGTCCGTGCTGTGTTCGTGTGCTTGTCTGGGCTGGTCTGGCGTGAATGGTTCCATGTGCTCCCGGGGTGGTGGTGCCGGGTGCTGCGTCGTGGGTAAAGACAGCCTCTGCTGTGCAGTCGGGTTGAGCCCTTGCCCGCCTTTCTCCTGCCTGGCTTCCCTCTTTGGTACTTGGACAGGGCTCTCGGCCTGCAGTGAACACCCCGCTCTGCAGGGCTCAGAGCTGGCTGGCTTAGTGCTTTCAGTCCCGGGGGCGATGCCAGTGAGGGCTGGGCCGGGACAGGGCAGACGTGAGCCCAGAGGGTACGTGCCCTTCCTGGGAAGCACTGGCTTGTTCTCCTTCCATGATGGAGGTGGGGTGGGGCTGCAGGAGGGTGGACCGTGCTGGGCCTGTCCTGGCTCACGTCTGACAGGACAGCGTCCTGCCGTGAGCCTGTGTGGGAAGCCAGCCCTCGTCTGGGAAGTCTTGTTCAGCGGGAGGGCAGATGGAGGGTCATCAGACTCGGCTCTGTACCACAGGCGCCTTGCCCTCTTGCACGCAGAGGGCCGCTTCGAGCTAGCCTGTGGTGAGCACTGAGGTCACAGTGGCTCGGCTGAGGAGGCTGCAGAGGGCCTGTAGCAGCCTCCCTCCTTACCAGCTGCCCATGGTGAGGGTGGGCCTGCCCCACTGTGTCGCCGATGAGCCGGGTCTGGGGATGGGCCACTGTCCTGAGCAGGGCTGGAAGGGGAAGGACAGAGAGACGCATCAGGGACGACCAGGGCACGTGGAGGTGCCCTGAGCAGTGACCTGAGCAGTGAAGAAAGGGCGAGTGTTGTGAGTCAGCAGGTCCAGAGCCAGATACCTGCCAGGCTCCCACAGCAGCCGCGGGTGGCAGACGGGGTGTGGGCGTGGGGCTCCGTGCTCTCAGAGTGATACTGGGAGTCCTTCCAAGGCTGGGCAGCCTGGATGGCCCTGCACACTCACTGTGAGCTGCGGTGTGCCACCTCTTGGGTCCCTTTGTCGCCCTGGGCACCAGTGGGTGAGAGGGATGCGTGGTCTTGTGAGGGTCTGTAGGGGCTCACCTGCAGGTGCCCCCAGGGCTTGGGACTTGACTGTGCCAGAACTAAAGGCTGCTGGTCCTCTGTCCCTGCAGGGGTTGTGTCTACCGTGGTCCCTGACTCTGCCCACAAGCTGTTCATTGGGGGCCTGCCCAACTACCTGAATGACGACCAGGTATGCCCCGCCCCGCCCCACCCCACCCTCTCTGCCCTGCCGGGCCCCAGCCCAGTCCTGCTCAGCTCTGTCGCTGTGGGCTCTGCAGGTGAAGGAGCTGCTGACGTCGTTCGGGCCTCTCAAGGCCTTCAACCTGGTGAAGGACAGTGCCACAGGGCTCTCCAAGGGCTACGCCTTCTGTGAGTACGTGGACATCAACGTCACAGACCAGGTGAGTCGGGTCGCCGGCCCCGCCTGCCTGCCTTCCCCTGCCCCACACTGTTACCAAGCCGAGGTCTCCTCCTCGGGGTGGGGCGGGAGGCCCCTGTGTGTGGGGCTCGGCCCCTTCGCCTCCCCGCCTCCCCACTGCCGCCCTGGCCTGGCTAAGGCTCCCGGCCCCGGGCCCACACCTGCCCTCTTGCCCTCCCCCACACAGGCCATTGCGGGGCTGAACGGCATGCAGCTGGGGGACAAGAAGCTGCTGGTCCAGAGGGCGAGTGTGGGAGCCAAGAATGCCACGCTGGTGAGCCCCCCGGCACGTCATCTTCCATTGGCTAGAGGGCCCGGGGCGGGCAGGGGCTGGCTGGGGTGGGGCCTCCTGGGCTTGGGGCAGGGGGCACAGTGTTCTCACGGAGGGGTGGTCTTCCCTCAGCTGGCGTCAGCCACTGGCTTTCTCGGGGGGGGGCTCGCCCCGGCCCCCCGGGG